GAGATCGGGCCTGTCTGTCGGCGGCTGTCATCCCCCCACACGTGCTCCTCCTTAGATCTCCCCGCGTCCCTGTGCCGATCGTGGATTTGGGCGGGCGGTGAGTGTGAGGCACGGAGGAGGTGCGGAGCGTGGATGCGGGCAGGTCTGGCAGCGGCGAGCGTGAGGTGGGGAGGAGGTGTGGCACGCAGCGTGTGTTAAGCCGTGAACAGGGCCAACCAATCAGGAGCCGATTAATCGATTATTGAAAAAGTTGACAACTTTTTCAATAATCGATTATGTCGATTAGTTGTTGCAGCCCTAATAGGGAGCACAGACAATCCCGGGATACAACACTGCAGAGCATCTCACCCCGATTCCCCCTCTATGGGGAGCACAGACAATCCCGGGATACAACCCTGCAGAGCATCTCACCCCGATTCCCCCTCTATGGGGAGCACAGACACACAGACAATCCCGGGATAACACACTGCAGAGCATCTCACCCGGATTCTCCCTCTATGGAGAGCACAGACAGTCACGGGATACAACACTGCAGAGCATCTCACCCGGAGTCTCCCTCTATGGGGAGCACAGACACACAGACAATGCCGGGATACAACCCTGCAGAGCATCTCACCCAGATTTTCCCTCTATGGGGAGCACAGACAATGGCGGGATACAACACTGCAGAGCATCTCACCCGGATTCTCCCTCTATGGGGAGCACAGACAATGGCGGGATACAACACTGCAGAGCATCTCACCTTTCAGAGGCGGCAGTTTATGGAGCTCCCTGTTCTTGGTCAGGCTGAATCTGGAAGAACTCTGTCTACGTTCTCTCTTCACCACCTGCCCTCCGCCGCCATATTGGATCTTGTTCAGCTGGGTGGGGGGCGGAGCACTGGGGCTGGGACGTTTGTTCATTCCTGGCTGGACCTGTTTCCAATAAAGTTTCAGAATCACAACAAGTCAAAACCCAAAACTTCCAGAACTTCCGCCAGTATTCCCAACTAGGAGATTTCCTCCTACTTCCGGAATCCATTACCGGGACAGGAAGTAGAGGGGGAACCTTCCACACATGCCTGGGGCCCTCACTGGGAAAACCTCCAAACTGGGGACACAGAGAGACTCCCCCC